GATTTGTCACCACCAGTCAAAAACCCAAACCAAAGATACTACATTTACATTATATGAAACAGAAAGCCAACAAATAATCACATTTGAGAAACAAAAGATTGAACAAAAACATGTTTTTCTTGACATAAATAAATGACTTAAAGGTCCAGTGGAACATTTCTTTTATCTATTGTCAGAAATGGACTATAATATTCGTAGTTATCTTTTCATTCATGTCCAATCAGCTGAATATATGAATTGTTCTGCTTTTGTTACCTTCAGATGAGCCATTTTTAACTACAGGAGAGCGGGTCCCTCCACGGTGGCCACCATCTTGAACCACCATGTTTCTACAGGAGCCCAGATGAGACAAACCAAACACTGGCACTAGATAGGAGCCACTGTAGTTTTATCCGACACCTTTGGATAAATAAATCCTAGACACTTTTAAAATCTTTTGACAATCAATTTTCTGTCTATTGACTAATCAATTATATCCACATTCCTTCATTATCCATCAGCATCCTGATTTTGACAACTATTTAATAATGTATTAAGATTTAGAACTGATGAAACAAAGTATAAGTTATTGGTAGTCTGTGGACCTACACAGGTTTTCAGCATCAACACAACTGTTTTATTAACTCTGAACACAGAATAGAAAACAGTAGATGATCAAACAATTTGGAAGCGGTTCTTGATTCCCATCTCTGATATTTAACCAGTTAATTTATTAACCAAGGATTATAATTAGTCAGTGGTTTTATGGTCACCCAGTAAACCCTCAAACAGTCCAGACAACCTGCCTGTACCCATTTGTTTTATGTGACTGAACCTAACTGGTACTGCCAGAGTTTGAGCACAAAGCTGCACTTTTGGGTTCAGACAAATGACAAGTGGGACGGTCAGAGAAAATGAAAGCATTAGAGTTCAGCCCTCGCCCTAAGCTACTTAACAAAGGCTCAAACCCCACCCGCAACCTGATACTTTGGATGGGACATGTTAGGGGTGGAGAGGCGAGCTGCAAACACCTGTGAATTCAGAAAGCCTGGATCAGCGTATGTGATGCCTTAAAATACTTGAATGCCGATTTATTTGTAGAAAAACACTGCAGCCCACTCATCTACTGATGTGTGTAGAGTGTGGACAAAACACAGGAGAGCAGAAAGAAATGTGACACTGGAAAGCCAAATCAAAATAATTTATTTTTGGTGACATTTCATACAGTTCTAGGATTGTGTCTCAAACACTTGGTTGATCCATTACTATATTTCCTTTTGCCACCCCAACCCAAATTAACAGAAAATAACCCAAACATATGGAGGGGGGGAGGGGAGGGGAGCAATTCCTGTAGGTATTTGCAAGCCTGTCAACATCAACCATATGCTTCTAAAATGATTTCACATTACTCATGAGTAAGATTCTTTTTAAAAACAAGTTAGTGCATTTATTTAATTATACTAAACCACTAGCTGCTCATACTCATTAATGAAAAAGAAATAACAGCCCCAGTGATTGGTTACTCGTTTTACTGCATTACTAAGCCCAAAGTCGATGCATCAAGTATTTTTCGCTCAGCTGACATCTCGAACAGTATATAAATGTCATATGCGTGATTTTATTTTGCCAATGCGATTTCACACAACTTTGGGGAAACCAGCCTACCAAGATTGGGAGAAAAGCGTTGTGCATCAGAATTAAAATAAATAAATTTAAAAAGCAATACATACAGTGAGTCAAACTTCAAATTCTAAGTCAACCTGTTTTGTTTCTCAAAAATTAAAAAAAAAAAAAAAGAAGAAGAAAGAAACGAATAAGAAAAAGAAACCAACAAAAACAAACCAGCAAACTCACCCTAAAAGCACAAAAACAATCTGGTGGATACCTGCTGTCAAAATCCTCCCTCTCTGTAAATTCAGCACTAGAACAAATTACATTCTCCCACACATTTCTAGTGAAGGATTATTACAATATAGCATAGGCAACTACACCTCTACAGCTTCTTCAAAATCCAGTTTCACTGGGCCAAAAGTTTCCCCAAGACTACATTATTTAGCAGACCTCGTCATTAAAAATCAAAACTTTATCCTATCACTCTATGATCGTAGGCAGCTGGCACATAGCACGTGAAAATGTTCCAATCCTCTTTATACCCACGACATGGCTGCCAAATGTTATGTAGCTATCACCCTTTAGCTAACAGCACTTCTCAGTCTATTTTTTGACACTATGCCATTTTTTAAGAACAATTCACAGATATAAGCTTAACCTGGATATCCTGTGATGATGTAGAAAAGCCAAACTTCACCTAAACCATCAGGTGCACAGTCAATTCTTACCATTAACGGTTAACCTATTATTCTTTTTTTTTTTTCCTCTTCCTCCCTCTCACTTGGAAAACGTCAACCTATTACCCCAACAAACATGTAAACAGAGAACCTGACTGATTATCAACATGACAAATGTTCTGAATCCATCAGAGCGAGTTGACCCGAATGGTTCAGATAGATAAAAGATAAAACTTAACATGAAAACTTTGGACCAGGCTAACAGGTTCACCGTGGCTAACAGGCCAGTGAGGACCCCAAAGTGGATTTCGGCTTTAAACAAAACCACACATCTGACTGCGGCGTACGTCGACAGATTCTGATATCTGACTGATACAATTTAAGCCAATTATGAACCAGGATCAAAATACCACCATAGAACATATTTCCTTAATATACATTAGAAGAACATACTGTCCAGTTTCGGGACAATGACTCTGAACCTCTGATGTAAAAATCAAAAATCATCCATTTCATTACATCAGTGCAACAGCACACTGTAGCACTTCAATCATTTTGCTTAACAATCAATGCATACAGACGTCAGTCAAACCTTCAGTCATACTTGCAAACCTAAGCACACAAGAAAAGAAAAACTGATGTCTCATTGCGTGTTAGTGATATCTTTGTATATGTACATGACATATATGCATGTTCTTTTCTTCTTAGTGCATATTGTTCTTGCAGACATCTATTCGTTAAATTCAAAAAAAGAAAAGGAAAAAAAAAAAAAAGGTAGAGGGCCATTTACGTGGCCCAGCATCCCACCTCTCCCTAGCAGAGCATAAATGAGATGTCCTCCAGATAAATCGCACTTGAAAAATTCTTTTAAGCATAATGCTGGAGGCCAGAACAAGATTTTTGTTTCCTTTTCAAATCACTCATCAAAGTTCTTCAGGTGTCATTTTGCTCATTAGTCCTGGATGTCCCGGTCTTAATGTCATTTTGAAAGCTTGTCTTTGGACAAGTTCCAGGGGGGGAAGGTGGCTACCATAATGTTGTTGCTTTTATGTTATTCATTTTTATATAATTATATATATCCATGTATATATTCATACATCTTTTTTCTATTCATATCAAGTTTTTACTTTGGCGATACTGGTGGGATATTCTGCTCTTTGCCAGTGTGCCTGTAGCCTCCCTGGGGGGAGCTGCGTCGGGCCGGAGGCGGGCGCCTCTGTTCCCGAAACTTGAGGCCCCCAGCGCCTCTGGGGCCATTACTGCGGTAGTAGCCTTGAGAGTCACGTTCACGTGGTGGCCGGCTCTCCTTGCACTCCCATCCCCCCTCCCTGTCGTGGCCCTTCTCTTGCTTGTCTCCAGGACCACTGCTGGAACCCGGCTCCTCGGCCTTGTTCACGCGCAGCTCGCGTAACGGCTGGCCTGACGCGGGGCCTGAAGAAGCTGGGGCAGGGGCCGCAGGGGGAGGGTCCTTGGGTGGCCGTTGGCACACCTCAGCGTAGCTGAGCTTACGAGGCTCCTGAGCCTAGGGCAGGGAAAATGTACAATTTTAAAACATTGAACACATTGAACACATACTCTAATTTAAACATTCATTTTCATGATTCACCTTGTCAAACCCTCAGATCTCATAATCTTAACGCTCATTGGGGTAGGAGTGAACGTTCTGGACGTTTGGTGGGAAAGAGCAGAGAGAGATAGAAAGAGAGAAATACTGAAGAAGTGTGACAGGTAGAGAGGAGGGAGAAAACCAAAGCCAGTCAGTCCACAACCTCACTTCCCTCTATGCGCAAAAGATTTCATCATCGAGAAGACAACTGTGCTCGAGTGTAGGCTGTAATTCTGAAGAATGAGATTCTTACCTGTGCAGGTGTTGGAACAGTGGCTGTAGCAGGGGCCGGCGTGCTGGGTGTCGCTGGCGTGGAGGCAGCAGAGGGCTGAGGCCTGGAGCTAGGCACGGGCTGTGTGGAGGAGGATGGGTTCACGGTTGTTTGAACAGGTGCGCGTGGAGTCACTTTGGGAGCTGGA